TACTCCCACCTAACTCATAAAGATGCAAGTTTATGGCTAAAATCAAAGAGGAGAGGCTGTGAGACCAAATGACTCCCATTTGCAGCCACTGGAACAGCACTTCTCCAAGCGGGGTCCGGGGACCGCCTGCATCGGAATCGCCTATGGTGAGGGGTGTGAAAATTCAGTTTCCTGGGCCCTCCTGCAGGTCACCCAAGTGGAACCTCCAGGAATGGAGTCTGGAGGCCGCACTTTGATGGGACCCCTGGGACTGGCTGGTGCTCCCTGGATTTTGAGAGCACCTGCTCGGAAGTAAGGGGAGGCAGGAGAGGGCACGGTGGCCGGCTGCCCGGCCTCGCAGTCGCCGCCTTCGGGCCCGCGTCTTCCCTAGCAAGCCCCGTGCAAACTTCTGAGGGATTTCTGCTGCTTCCACGGACAGAGGTTGTTCACCAGGCATAGACTGTGTACAGAAGAAAAGCTGAGAATTTTCTCCCCAAAATACCAGGAAGAAGGAATGCCAGGGAGAAGACACCTGTGTAGGTAGGGAGCCCACTGACAGGCAGGCAGACACGTCCGCATCGGTTAGGACTGCCCCGGGGGGCACCTTCAGGAAAACGCTGGGCGGCCACTAGCTCAGACTGTCTAGGGGTCACAGAGAGTCCCAAACATGCTATTCCCCAAACTGACGGGTTCCCCCAACCAGCAGTAATCCAGCAGCTTTTAGATTGTTCTAGGGCTAAAGCGGTCAGACACCTGGGTCTGGGTTTTTCTTTTCCATTGACACTCTGATGGCTGACCCATGTCCTACAATGAAGGCAGGCCCCCAATTTCAACTCTGCTTCCCTAATCCCGTCCCTCTCCCTTCTTCATCCATCACATGGGCGATTAACTAGAAAGCAAGAGTTTCCATTATGGACATGTTAAGGCCGTGCATTATATGCATGTGTGAAGTGTTCTAGTTAAATGTCAACAACCTAAAGAGTAAATGGTTCATTTCTTCCAAAGTGTTAGTCAATTGGGACCCATATGAGCCTGGGAGGAGGGGAGAGAATGGTTGATCCCCTAGGGGTGCACCCTATCTCCACTTGGTGAGTCAAAACCGAGCTTCATTCATTTGTGGATTAAATCAAAGCTGGCAGGCAGGGGGAAGGCCAGAGAAGAGCACCTAGCAGCATCACAGGGAGGTGACCTGTAGACAGCGTCAAACATGTCATCGAGCCCACATCCCAGATCGCAAACTAAGAGGACAACAGGGAACCTGGAAAAGATCCAGAGCTGAGACTCACCGAGCAAACCCAGTGAGGAAAAACAAAGGGAAGGAAGGCTGTTTCGCAAGGGAAGCAGGCCGCAGTCCCACTGAGGGCATCTCCAGCACCATGACGTTTTACTACAGCAACGTTGCCTGTCCATCTGTTTCCTCTCCGGACCCTACTCCGGCATCAGGGATTTCACTGAGATATGAAAAGTTATTTCTGCTGGTGAGAAGCATGACTTTGCAGGGACAGCCTGAGGATGGCCAAGAGGTCCTCCCTCTTCGAAGGGTCTTCAGGGAACAGGAGGGATTCTTAATTGTTGGAAGGTGTTTTGATTCAGCTCTGGTTGAGAATCCAGGTGCCCTGACCTGGGGAATCTTCCAGATCCCATTACACAACAGTATGGAACTAGCTCCTTTCAAACATCTGCCTGACAATCCAATCACCTCTGAGGGTGGCAGGTGACACTCCAGCCATCTCTGTTCCTTTGAGGGTCTCCATGTTATTCAACCAAATGTGACTGTCTCACATTCTCTTTTCCTGCACCCGCCAGTGAGGTGTGCCCGGGACCAGGAGGGCTATTTTGCTGACCGTCTGTACAAGTCCATGAAGGGTGTGGGGACCGATGAGGAGATGCTAATTCACATCTTTGTGACCAGGGCTGAGGTAAGACACACTTGACCCCAAAGTGGCGGGCTGGGACTTCTCTTTTTGCCATCATGTCATCAACAAATAGTTTTTACCAAGGGCCTATTTACAGAAAAAGTAAAACAGAGACATCCTTTGTCTTTCCAGACTTTGTGAAAGACCTTTTGCTATGTTTCAACCTGTTTCTTTTTGTAAAAATACACTAGTGACAGCCACTTCTATTTTTGTCATCTGTGGCTCCAGAAAATTTGTGGCAGTGTGCAGAGGGGACCTGGTGGAACCCTTCTGGGTGTTGCAGCTAGGCTTGGGCCCATTTTACGGAAGGCAAAACTGAGACGCTGAAGGGTTAGCGATGGCCTAGGTCACCCAGCAGCAGAGTCAATGAGCAAACGATTGCCTGACTCCTGCTAGGCCTTTATTTAATTGTGCAGGAGTATGATTTTGCACAAGAAACAAATCAGTACAAGACAGTGTTTCTCAACTTTTCTTAAATTATCAATCGCCTCACCAAGGAGCCTTTTGGGACCTATTTTTTTTCCTAATTGCTCCCCTCTCCCCTATCGAGAAATGTTAACACTGCAAATATACTGTATATCTGTTTATGTTCCATTTATAAGTGCTTTTACATAAAAAGATTGAGTTTTTCCACCCTGTAAGAGCTAATTTTTGCCCTGTTAGGAATGAGGCTGCACCCCCTTGAGAATGCATGAGTGTAAGAAAGGGACCGAGAAAGGGCCGGGCCGGAGTAGCCCAAAGTGTGGGAGCAGCCGTCAAGATCCACAGCAAATGCTTTGGATTACAGAGCCACACACAGAAGAAATGACAAAATAGAGGGGAAGTGGCATTTCAGCTGCAGTAGAAGCAGGGGATGAAGTGTAACTGAGCCCTTGCAAACCACAGACATCTTCCCTCAAAAAATTGTTAAATGGAGGGGGAAGGATCCCAACCCAAATTCTGGCCACAGCTTTGGACAAATGCTTAACGTCTAGCACTGTTGTCTTTAAGTACAGCTTAGCAACAGGACTGTTCTTTCATTTTTATTTCTATTCCTGGAACTTCTCCTCCTCTATGATTCATATTTTTCTTTCTCTCTTAAAGTCCATGTCTCTCTCTCCTCCCTTTTCCCCCCTCCAGTCTGTCTGCAGCTCTCCCCACAGTCCTCACTCTCTCCTCCAAATCTCTCCCTTCCCTCTCCAGTCTCTGTCTTCTCTGTCTTCCTGTCCCTTAGCAACTCAACCCCCCAGCCAAAGCCTTGAAGCACTCAAGGAGCAGGGCAGGGGTTCTAAAGACCCCGGGGAAACGGATGGGTCTGGAGGGCTCCTCGGGGTTCCATGTTCACCCCAGTATGAGCCATGGACTGTTCATTCGAGATGCTCTGCCCATCTCAGTACTGACCACGTGTCCTGGGTCATCTCCACATGCGGACCATCCCATCGGAATGCTCCAGGCCCCGCCAGATGCAGTTGGCCAGAATCTCTAACCCCCAAAGCATCATGGTACAAGAACAGAGCTGCAGTGTGCGCCCCCCCAACCTCCCACCTTTCTGCCCTCCTCCCCCCCAGCCAAGCAGTGCACAAGCCAGGGGAGCAGAGAGACAGACACCACCTGCCTGCTATGGTCTCTCTCCTGCTCAGCACCCACTTCGAACAACTCCCCGCTCTCCCACCTTCTCCTCTCATCTTTCTCTCTCCTGTTCAGCTCTCTAATTGGGGG